GTTGGTTTTTCTGTTGCAAATTGTAGCTAAATCAATGCTTTATTGGAACCGAATTTATTTCTGCACATATGTCTCTGTGTCCAATTCTCAGCATTTGCAGTTCTGACAGTCCCTAAAGAGATAAAAGTGTTTTGCATTTTACATAGTGGTGTTTGGTTGGTTGGAGGAAAAATTTAGGCATGGGAAAGAAATGTTTACTATTTGGGGCAAAAGTTTGGTTTTCATAAGTGTTTTTATATAGTTTTGACTGGAGAGCTTCATTTTGCAGGATATGTGAGGTGTTTTGCTCTTTGGGTGAGGTGTTTTGTGAATTGTGCTAAATGATTTGCAAAAATGAGCCTTGTTGTCAAAATTGTGCTTTAGCAATTGGTAAAAACTGTAAAAAGGGAGAGTATGGTGGAAGGCAAACATTCATAAAATTCTGGTTATTGTTAAACCAATCACGTATTCTTGGACCACGGTGAAAGCTCACATTGTCCCAAATGATAACATAAATGGGATGCTCTGCCTGACCGTGACCTCTCTGCTCATGTCCGAGCAAAGCATCCCGTAGACCATCCAGGAATGTTAGAAGAAGGTCGGTGTTGTATGGCCCAACAGTAACATGGCGGTGGACAACCCCATAGCTGCTGGTGGCAGCGCATATGGTCACATTTCCACCACGCTGGCCAGGAACTTCTATAATGGCATGTTGACCAATTATGTTGCGAGCTCTCTTTCTCCTTTTTGCTAGATTGAATCCAGCTTCATCCATGAAGATGTATTCATGAGGCCTCTCCATTGAGACAAGCTCAAAAAGTCTCTATACACAATGAAAATAGAGTACACTCCGTTCTGTGAATGACATATATAGTACAGTATACTGTACATGCTAGTGCTGAGTGTACTGTAACAGTTTACTTACTTGCACATATTGATATCTTTGCTCTTTCACTCTTTCAGAGTTTCGCTGAAATGGTATTGATAGGTTTGTTTCATCCTTATCTGGTTGCGTTGTAGGATACGGTCAATTGTTGAACGACTCACATGGTTTAATCCATCAAAATGCACATTGTCTTCAATAATCCGCTGTTGTATTTCTGTATTTCATGCAGTTGTATTGCATTGTTTTGACGGACCATCTCAACAATTACTTTCTCTTGTTGTTCTGAGAACATACGTGTTCTTCCACCCCTATGTGACCGTCTTTCAATTATTCAAAAAGATAATAATTTTAGAAGTATACATGCTGTATTGTAAATGTTCTCTACTGTACAAAAACAGATATAGTACCGTAAGGAAATTATTTTTCACTGTCCCCTTTCTAGAGATTGGTGGAGTGATTTACTGACACAGTAACTTTCAGAGACAGAAATACATTTTACCGGTTTTCTTCTCTGAAGGTCCTGACTATGGAGGCCACTGTGAACCGGCTTAAATTTGGTTGCACACGCTGTCCTGCTCCCCTCATAGTCATGCCATGAACCGCAACATGATCTATGATCGTTGCTCTAATTTCACTTGAAATTATAGCTCTTCTTCTTGGTCTTCCTCCTAGTCCACCACCTCTGACACACACTCCTCCTCCTCTTCCTCTTCTGTTGTAATGCTCCATGCTGAATTCAGTCACGCCGCTTGCATATGACTTGGCTTATATCCTGTTTATTGAATGGGTTCCACACATCACAGATTGGACACATGTGTGCTCAATTTTGAGTGGTAGTGTGTTAATGATGAAAACAGGGTGTTATTTGTGTGTACCTTTTGGAGTCTGTGTGTGCCATTCTGGGTCCAAGTGCACCACACTACTAAATGTGTTTTGTGAATGAGAATGTGTTTAGAGTTTTGCTAATTGGGAGATTCAGATTTGCTAATTGTGTCTAACCAGATGAACAGTGTTTAAAGATTTTTCCAACTGTGGGATTGATTTGGTGAAGGAGTTTTGGTAGTTGGCAGTTTAGTTTATAAACTGAGGTTTAGTTTTTTAACAATTCAGAAAAACTGTAATGTATATATTAATGGTTATTGTTAATTCATTCAAGTTCATGAAATGTTTTATTAAAAATTGTTCTGCAATTCTGACTTTGAACAAAAACCTGATGCGGACCTTTGATAAAAAAAAAGTTTGAGAACCTTTGGTGTAGGGCCTCCTCTTGTGGCCAGTACAGCATCAAGTCATCTTAGCACCAAGTCCTGCACAGTGCCCAGGAGGATTTTGAGCAATTCCCCCTGCCGGGGGCCAGTGGCCAGGTCACTACGTGATGCTGCTATTTCCTGACTCACTCCTCCTAAACACCGAAAAGTGGCTCAGTAATATTCAGATCTTTACAGGCCACAAGGGATGTTTAACTTTCATGTTCATTTTCATGTTCATCAAACCACTCTGTCACCAGTCTTGCATTATCATCCCAATACACGGCACAATGTTTAACCACTGGGTGAATATGGTCCTCTAGAATGGTTTGGTAGTCCTTGGCAGTGATGTGTCCATTTAGAAAAAGTAGTGGGTCTAGGGCAGGGGTCTCCAACTCCGGTCCTGGAGAGCTACCGTCCAGTAGGTTTTCTATCCTACCTGGCTTCTGATGAGCCACACCTGTTCTCAGGTAAATACCAGGAGCAGGTGCGGCTCATCAGAAGCCAAGTGGGACAGAAAACCTACTGGATAGTAGCTCTCCAGGACCGGAGTTGGAGACCCCTGGTCTAGGGAATGCCATGATATTGCAGCCCAGCCTATCACTGATCCACCCCCGTGCTGCACTCTGGGTGCACAACAGTCTGGGTGGTAAGCCTCTTTGGGGCATCTCCATACCGTAACACTCCCAGATGAGGGAAAGACAGTGAACATGGACTCATCACAGAACAATACATGTTTTGCATTATCCACAGCACAAGATTTGTGCTGATGGCACCATTGTAACCGACGTTTGGCATTGGCACGAGTGACCAAAGGTTTGTCTATAGCAGCCCGACCATAAATAGTTTTGGTGGAAACAGGAGTCAAGGTGTGCATTTAATTCTTGAACAGCTGTGGTTTTATGTTTTTTGGATACAATCCGGGTTAGAACACTATTGATCAGGTATTTCAGTTTCATTATACAGCAATGGTATATGGGTTTGAGCAAGACGCAATATGTAAAATCAATCCTATATTAATCCTACAGATTAATAAAGTATTACTAAAGTATTGTGTCATAAATGAAAACATAAATTTTATCATTTGAGTTAAATTTTATTTGGTCTTTGTATCTTTTCAGTATCTTCCACATGTTAAAATGTTTATTTTCAACATTTACACACGCACATAAACACAGACACACAAATACACAGAGTTGATTAGGCCCAGCCCAGTGTGAAATTCCACAAACACAAAACAAACTGGAACAATTAACATGGCCCTCAAAGCCCACCAAAGGACATTTCTAAATAAATCTATAAAGTCATTATACAGGCTCTTATAAGCTGCAACATAATCTTTTATATAGCCTAGATTCACAAAATAAAATAAGACTGTCAAAGGAAGAAACTTAGGCAGTGCTGAGTTGATGCAGTCATCACACCTGTCCTGCCCATTCCGCCAGTACGTCGGCTTTAGGAAAGGACAGTGCACCACTGCCCCCCAGTGGTGTATTACATGCATCACAAACAGTTCATAAAGGGTGCCTGTCAGCTTGTTCATTTCATGCAACATTTCTCATTGCAGGAATCTAAAAATTATACTGGAGCACAATGCATTACTGTTGTGCTTCATAAAAGAAAAACACTGAAAATCAATGTGGCACTATAACTGAAAACAGAGAACAGCACTGGCAAGATACCTCCCAGACAGACACCCACAGATATGTGTTTAGAAAATCCAGTGAAGTAAAAATTAAAATACAAAAAAGTTATTAAAAAACAAGAGGCAGTAATGTATCTGTGGCCTTCTTACTCCAGTGTATGGGTTATCGTTAACTTATCCTTTTAACCCTCCCTGCGACAACAATGCGAATGTTTACTGTTATTGTTTGAAAACCTGAAGATTGCATTCGTCCAGTGCTGTAGAAAGGAAAATACTTTCCTACAGCATTTTACAGTGCACGTAATGACCAAAGAATACAATTAATTCAAGTATCTTAGGAACGAATAAAAAAGACAAGCCTGGAATAGCCTATTCTCCATTTTCCCCAAGTTTGACTATTGGCCAGTCTATAAATATCAAACTACCGTTCTTCCGAAATTCTTCCTCTGGGGGGGCTTAATTCTGCTGCTCTTGACATCAGTCATTAAAAAAGCACCAGGGCACACAGCTGTTCTCTACCTTCAAGCAGGATGACATAAGATATCACAGAAAAGCATTAGTGGTTTGGTCATGTGGCCCAAAACAGGAGATAAGCAGCCAAAATCAAAACAGGAACTGGGGTTAAACCCTTTAAGGATTAGTTACCCATAAAGTTAATTTAAAAAGCTGATTAATTAATGCCAATAAGCAACAAATTGGAGTGAAAAGGAATAAAGAACTCTCTTTCAAATGTAGAACTAGCAAAAAATAAAAAAGGATGCATTGTAGAGGTTGAAAGTTTAAAGGCTGTTTAAACACAAGTTTTGCTCCAAAATTGTGCTTTCATTCCTTACAGCTCACTTGGTGGCAAGTTAAACTTATTCACAGCAATGGCCAGAATAATTCTCCTTGTCATCACATCAAATGCCACAGAGGGACTGAGAGTCGATGGAAGGATGGCTTACAGTTAGAGTGATGCAGAGAGGACGTCACAATGGTTACGACTATGTACAGTATATGCCTCTGCAACACTATGTATGTGTACATCGCTGCAAAAGAGCAATGAGGTAATCACTGTTTCAGATTTCATCCAGACCCCACTACACAAGTCATTAAATAAATATTTAAATGCTAAATGTAACTAATTACAGGTTTAATACGGAGCCCCTGAAGGGACCTGTGCAAAAAAATCAAATAATGTTACCTTCGCCTGTGCACAAGTTACTTTTGCGAGCGCTCACAAAACATTATTTTATTTTTTTGCACAGGTTCCTTCCGGGGCTCCATAGTTTAAAGACTGTTATTGCCATTCAGTTTTTTTACTATAAAATACAAAGCATTCTGCAGGAATCTTGTTCTGGACAAAAACATGCAATTTTGATCAATTTACAGGTAGCAAGTAAAAATCCAGGGAAAAATGAGGGATTAAAACAGGGTCTTTCTACTAATTACAGAAATACCCCTATATCTTGTTTTTTAAACTATTTGGTACAGGGCTCTCTATCAGTGAAACAAAGACGGACCCCTACACACATAGCCAGCGGCCAACCACCTCACCTGCAGCTAAAACTATCCCCTGTGACCCGGAAATATTTTAGCTTCAGTGCTGAAAGCCAAAGGAGACACAGCCCATTGTCACCACTGACATTGCATCACAATCACGATGCACAGAGACAGGTGCAAGGCAGTCAGAAGACTTAAGGGAATGGAGAACTGATTGTTGTGATTTACTTGGGTACTTCATCTTGTGTGAACACAAAGTAGTGGCTTAGATACCCAAATAAATTCCTCAGGGAGGCAGGTGAATAGTACGAGCCTAAAGTACTGCATGTAAAAGCAGTCCCTCATCTTTTAGTGGTCACCATATTTTAGTGGTAACCATGAAAGCCCAACTTTGTAGCAGAAATGGGTGTGAGAAAGCCTATTAAACCACAGCTTACCGTACAGTAATCAGGGACTAATATTAACAGTGTTTTCTCTCTCTAAGCAATCAAACCCCTGGGCCTCCGTTGCTAAGGGTGACAAGAAGGACCAAATCATATTTATTAATGAGCCAAATAAAATTTTGCGTAGCACCGAAACCGCAGAACCAAGAACAGTTAAGCTGGAAATCAATAAAACATTAAAAAACACAAAAACTCCCACCAAATGATGCACCATAGCTCAAGAGCTTCTCAAACAAATGGAGGCAGATGAGATTCAGCCCTTGTTCTTTGGTTCATTGCTGGCAAACTCTGCAGAAGCCTTGAGTATGTCAATGAACTATGATGTGAGTCATTACACAAAACGCAGATTGTCTCAGTCTCATGTCAAAAGCCTAAGAAAATGGCCAATGGTCATCCTTGATGCATGTTCAGAACACACATTTACATCATTTATGCTCATCCCAGTTATTGGGCAAATGTGCAATCTCATCATAATAGCAATGTGTTCATCTCTTTAGCTCCTTTTAATGCTGAGGCAGCTCCACCAACTTGATTATTTCATTTTTTCTCCAAATGCAAACATGTCTTTGTTCTTAAAAAAGTATTGCAAAAACTACAGGCATCTGCACATTGTCTAGAAATTATTGATCATCCCAAAGTAAATAAATTTAGGCAAACACACCTGAATTTGCCTGGACGTTAATGCTGGGATTATGAGAAGATTTATGTGCATATACTGTATGTTTGTCTTTATCTGTTGACCTGTGTGACATAATAATTGGTACCATGGTACTTTAGGCTTTGCATTGTATATACACAGTATACAATGGGACACTTTCTGAGAAGATTCCCTTTCCTGAAACTGGCTGCAGTATATCAACTTCCAGCATGCCTGAGCTGCAGTCTGGTCTCAGCCAGCCTTGTTCTGTGGCTCGAACATACATCACAGGGCAGTACGTACACCTTGCACTGGGTAGAGGGTTAAAGGACACCTTCCAAAGGAGTAGTTTGGCATTAATTAGATAGAACTTTGGCTGAACATAAAAGGACCCTATGAAGGTGTTAGTTTTGTATTAATGTTGAAGTTATACCAGATATTTTGCCTTAAATGGGTTATATGACAGTTCTCCTTTAAAAAAATCCAAGTAGATCAAATCTGAATGAGAAAAACCAAAGAACCACTCTGGCCTCGAAAAAGAGTATTTTAGTATTGTATCTAACATTGTCTGCACAGCTGAAAAACTTCTATCACTGCAGATGGAAAGTTTCAGTGTAAAACTCAAAATTCTGCAATACTTCTTTAAAACAACAAATGTACAGATGCTTGCTTATCAAGGGCAAGGAGGAGATGATTTTTGCCTCAAAACTGCGGTGATAAACAGATTAAACACAGGGGACCTAGAGAGCAAGCACCTTAAAGGAATGACTGCGGCTGGGTAGCAGAAAAGACGACCAGGTGACTGCAGCGGACACCGCTGGCCCAGAGTTTCACAATCTTCAGCAAAATGAATGTGCAATGCATCATTTTCAGGCTCTTAGTCAATAACACAGGACCTTCTGAATTTGCTAGCCTCTCTGTCTAAGGGTAAATTGGAAAGTAATTCTCTAGTTATAGTGCAAACCCTTGCCCTATTAGCCTCATTTCAAAATTGTTTGAGGGCTCATATTCCCATCTAGAGTGCTACTTTAATTTCTCATTTCTTGGACATTGGATTGAGGAATTTTATGGTGTTATCGGGGAAATTACTTTGATACATGTGGCAAGAATTTATTATTCTTGTCATATGACACTTGATATTTTCTACAGGCTCTATATCACCCTACAACCTAAAATGCTTGTAAAGAGATGTAAAACACTCTTCAAGCATTTATTGATTACTCATAACTGTAGCACAAAGAAACGTTCATAGAACAACCTGAGGTACCCTTTAAAAATGTACTTAATTCATTTTTAATAGCAATTTATCTCTGCAGTTATAGACCAACCCACTTTACACACATGAAAGCTTTCCAACACTTTTATGAAATTATGATTATTGTTAAGTTTTTCCCAAACACCAGTAAATATTTCCCAGGGGGAATCCCATGCACATTAACACCCGGAGCTGTGGATCAGGAAAACCATCACAATATAAAGGGGGGTTTCCCGGAAGGAATAGAGGGGGTTTGAACAGACTCGGCATAGCAGCTTGGGACCCGAAGAATCCTCCTCTTTGGTGGGAACTTGCAGACCTGGCTGTTCACGCCAAACTCCCTCGTCTGTCTCCCGCAGCAGAGACCTGCTCCTCACAAAGGGAAGGATGCCTGGCTCAGAACTGGTCGTTTCCCAGTGTCGGGGACTTCCAGGGCCGGATGGCTGGCAGCAGAGGTCTGCTCTGGCATGACTCTTTGGCGATGCAGTTCAGGGGTGTCCTGGGCCCCAGCCATGTCAGGTCAATGAAGGGTGAGTTCGGCTGACACGAGGGGACCACCCTTAAGCCCGACAGAGAGGGGCTGCCATTGGTGGAGCAGGGGGCAGAGCGAGAGGTAGCAGGACAGGGGGCAGAAAAAGGGTCAAACGGGGAGTGAGCTGCTTTGGGGGTGATGAAAGAATCAGCTTCCCGAGTGAAGGGGTCACAGTCTGTGGCAGGGAAGGGGTCACAGTTTGCGAAGGGATTTGTGGTAGAAAGCTGGCAGCTCGGTATATGAGCCAGAAGTCCTTCAGGCTTGGCTGATTCCTCACCTACTCCTGCTCCCCTAGCAGACACAAAGCTCCAAGGATCGATGCGGGGCCGAATAGGAGAGGGCCTTGGCCTCGGGATGACGCTCACCTCCAGCCGGCGGCTCTTGGGGCTCCACAGTCGAGGGTCAGGGAACAAGGCAGGAGGTGGCGTCTGGTCGTCAGAAGCCAGGCTGTCCAGGCACAGGGGCAGGTCCAGCACTGCAAAGGTACAAGAGGAGGCTCTAAGTCTGCCAGTGACAGGCCTGAACAGCAAACCTCTACTAAACATTACAGCATGGAACTGCAGCCCTGAAGAATACTAGGTCGTTGCAACACTGTCAGTATCTGCTGTCAGCTTTGTTTAAGCCTGTTGGTTTGTGAGACAAATTAACTTGTGACAACATCTCTTAGCACATACACCTACATTACTGTGCAAAAGTCTTAGGCAGACAAAAAAAAAATTGAGGCTGTTTATCCGGGTAGCATGTGTATAAAAACGGACAAAAAAACAGAATTTAACATGAGATAATAGGGTAATTAACAGTAACACAATAAAACTAAACAATAATTTCTGTTCTCCAAAAAGTTTCTAATATATCCTGGGATGGCTAGATGAACGCCGCTTCGTTCCCAAACCTCTCTTCAGGGGCACCCAGCCATTCCATATATTTGTTACATTTCTCCACCAGCTCAACTAATTAATTAACTTAATTCATTAAGTATCTCAGTGAGGTATTGATTAACCAAAAAACGAATGGGTGTAATGGATGGTTGTGGCAAATACTGGGTGATTTTAGCAGAGGTTTTCAAACGGTTAAGCTGACACCTCGACAGACGTATCATTCCACCAACATGGAGATCATGTAAACACCAATTTTCATTAACTGCCATAGGCTTTCTTGCACAGTAGTGTACATACCAGTATTCAAACTAGCAGCCGGACTGACCTGTTTAAACTGAACCCATATAAAATTTATACAGCCACGGAAAAGATTAAGAGACAACAGCACAATTTTTGTTTCACTCATTTCCCAATTTATGGGTGTGCATCTGTGAATATTTTTTTTTTCTGCAAGCTGCAGCCTGGTTCTTCCCTGTTTCTCATTAATGAAGCGCTTCTTCCTCGCTTTGTGGGATTTCAGTCCTGCTTCTAGGAACCTGATACAAACTGTCCTAGCAGTGCACTTCACAGCTGCACTTAATGTTTCCTGTTCCCTTTGAAGGTCACTTGATGTCATCCTACGATTCATGAGAAACTGTCGGATAAGTTAACGGTCAACTCCGGCATTAGAATGTGGCTTCTGCCTGTTACTTGGCTGGTTTATGGTCATTCCCAGTGTCTCCTGCTTTACCTTACTCTCATGTACTGCTGTCTTAGAAATTTTGAACCTGGAAGCAACCTGCTGCTCAGTGTAGCCTTTTGCCAGCAGAAGAACAATTAAACCAGGATTTAGAAATGCAAATAATTAAAAAATTATTTGGTCTCAATTTTTTCCATGGCTGTACATGCAGGAAACACTCAGAAGATAAATATTAGAAACTAGAAATGCATGCAGGGCTGCCATGCTGTTCTCAGAATGTAAATAGATCATGTCCAACCGAGCTGAGAGGAGTGCAGGCTGGCTGGGGCTCCTCTGCTGAGGTCCAAGCTTTGATCCCACGAGACACAGGGACGAGTGGGGGGCGTGAGGGCCGGGTTTTGGGCTTCGGCTGGGGCTGGATCCGGGAAGGGTAGGGGCAGGTTCAGGGGGCCCGAGTGGGAGAACATGATGAGGTCGTCCAGCACAGATGAGTCCTGGGCCAACACCTCCGAATCTGGGGGCTGGGGGGTGATCCTGGGGGATAATCTGGGCTGGGCTGCAGCAGAGCGGCCCAAGGCCACAGAGGCCAGCATGGAGCCCAAGCTCAGCAGGGCCCGATGGGTGCCTTTCTCAGCACCGCCCACTGAGCCGTGTTCTGCTCCAGGGGAACCACCCCCAGACCAAGAGCCCCAGTTTAGGGCCCCCCCCCCCTCACCACCCATATCCCCCTGAGGTAGACCGCTCCTGGGAGATTCTTTGGGACAGAAGCCTGAGGGACAGAAGAGACAGGCTCTGCTTTACTCAAGTACAGTATGGGGCAGTAAACTTTTTATTTACATTGGTAACTTTTCAAATATTTAAACTCATAACATTACAAAAATAACAACCATACCAGTAGCTACTAGATACATTAAAAAATAAGCTTTTCTTGAGTAAAGACAGTTTTTGAAATGCATGGCCTCTCTTGCTGGGTCGCAAACTCTCCGAAAATGCTCAAAGGGCAAGCAGGCACGCGTACCATTGGGGGCAGACTCCGGGGTGGGAGGTCTGGGAGGTCTGTACAGCTCGAAGTCGGATCTCAAGCGGCCAGTTTCATTGCTGTCCATCTCCAGAAGCTTGGCTCTCATGGAGAGACTGATGCACACATGCATGAAAACACAGAAAGAAGGAGAGAGATGAGATAAACCCACCAGGGAAGCGTATCAGGTTCAGGTGAGAAGGGGGTTGCAGGCGGGAGGGACGGAGCCATACCTGCCCTCAGGTGTATTGAGGCGTAAAATCTTGGGGTTCTTGGGACTCTGGGGGCTCCTCTGGGGGCCTGCCCAGCTGTCACAGCTGGCCTGCATGATAGCAGAGGTCTCTGAGGACCATACAGGGCTTAAGGGAAAGACCCTGGTGTTTTCACTGGGAGTGACTGGACAGGACCAGAGACAGAGGTATAGTGTCATGTAGAGCTGGGCGATATGGCAAAAAAAAATATCACGATATTTTTTCCTGTATTGACCGATATCGATAATTATCAATATTATAGTTTCACAATGCTGTTCCATGTAATAATGTAATAATCAAAATAATAATAAAAATAACCCTATTCTGACAAATAGAATGAATACATTGAAATAAACAATATTAGTAAACAAATACTTATTTTCCAACAAATTTTACTGCTTACATACAAAATTCCCTTAAAATTATAAAAGGTTATTGATTTTCAAGTATTCAAAGAAACATAGCTCAAATGAACAAAACCATATAATAATGTAACAATGTGCAAAACTGTATAATATTGCAAATATGTTAAAGGTCAAACATAAAATAAAGTAGGACAGAACTGACTGCAACAAGTATCTTCCTCTATTCTTGGTCTCTTAAAAACTTTTTTAAATTCTTTTTTTGTCCGGCGCTGCAAAACGTCACCACGCGTCACCATGTCACATGGTACAAAATCCTCGCGAGAGCAAGACGACTTGAGACAGGCCGTGCAGCACAAACTGGAACTGCCTCCGTGACGACACAACTTTGCCCTTATTGGCCGAAGATTTTAGTCACACTCATGACGTTTGTATCCCAGGCAGTTACGATGCGTAATCTGCTATTTTTCCCGAATATCACGTAAAACAGTGAGAACTGGTTTTCAGTTAATTTACCTGGTAAAATAAAGTTTAAATAAATGACATAAGCGCTCTAATAGTACACGTAAGTTAGTGGTTTATTTATTGTTAGTTACTGTAATGTTGCGCTGCTTTATTTGTTTAATCGTCCAGTCTGTGAAGAAGGCATTCAAGTAAGAATTGCATTGTACTCTGTACATGACAATAAAAACTTTGAATCCTTGAAATACATGCATTTGATCTTTTTCCTGGCAGGTATCTTTTTACACAGAGCCACTATACACAATAGTTTTATTCACTGCTAACAGTTTGTATCAGGAGCTGGTTATTGTAAAGGAAGTAATGTGCATGCAGGTGATATTTGTATATATTTATCTACACCCTTCTGGCAGTGCTGCCATAGCAGTCAGGTCTCGCACACTATGAGGAGTAGAAGTTGTCTGACTTGGCTTCAGTCAGTTTATACTCCACCCCTGCATCCGCAGCCAGGTCGCGCTCCATGTCGCGTCAACTGCAGACAGACCTAAGCACAAGTCGAACGTACCCATTGCTTCTTTAAGGGAGGATGGGCAAAATTACAACGTCATCGGCGATTGGCTGTTGTGCTGGCATTCAGTAAACCTCTGCTCGATAGGCCATGGAGTTGTCTGTCTCAGCGCATTCAATTTGGTTGATCGAGTTTTATAGTCTGTGTGTATCATCGTGATCGTCCTCATTTTTTATTGATAAAAAATCGAGATCGTTTT